GAGGAGAGGAGAGGAGAGGAGAGGAGAGGAGAGGAGAGGAGAGGAGAGGGAAAGAAACAACAATACATAGAGGGAGTTTCAAGGGCAAAATGAGATGCCTCCTGTGGATCCCTCACTTTTTTACCTGTTTTACATCTACAAACTGTACGCATTCTAGCCACATATTCAGAAAACCATATCCACACTGGGCACATTCTCGTTGCTGAGAAAGTATTTCCTTTGCTTCTGTGTTCTGCTTCATTGCTCTGCGTAAAGAAAGGTTGCTGCTTTTCAGTTGAGCGAGAATAAATCTTGCTGTTATTTCCTGTTTTATTGGAAGGAAAACCAGAATATCCTGTATTACTGAAAATATAACAAATTCAAAATTAATACTTACTCCAATACTGAATATCCTTTTATACAGCAACTACCAGTTAAACAATTACAATCAAGCCATGTATTAAGCATGCTGCCACATCTATGAGTTGTGAAATCCAAAGAAAATTTGGCTACAGCTAGATAATAAGAAAATTGCTAAAAAGAATTCATACAGTAATCCAAAAAGAGGCAGAATTCTTATTAGAGTTCAGGGAGGTTTCCTGAGACTTAAATTCTTTGTGTAGGCAGTGATTGTGATCTCAGCCACCTACCCAGTGTGAGTACCTGCAAAAAAAAATACATGTGCACGATCATCACCAGGCCCATAGCCAGCCGGGATCACCAAGGGCAGGTGCTCTTAAATGCTGAGACAGCCTTGTGGCTGTAGACGACCCAGGAGGCACGCAGCTGGCTGGCCCGGCTGTCAGAAGGGAGCTGCGCATGTGTGCACTACAGCATCAACCTGGCTCCACAAGCCCCTGGTTCCACAGCACCAGCAGGGAAGCCAAAGCCAGCAGCCAGAGCACAGCCATGGAGCCCAGCCTGGCCAGAACTACTTATTGCATTCTCCTGCTGCTGCTGGGCTTAGGCTGCCACTGTCTTAATCCATTACTCTGGAACTGGTGGCTGAGCAGCCCCGCGGCTCTCCCAATCAGGACTGCCTTCACGCATGGTGGCCGCGGCTGGCCAGGGCAATCACTGAGAGCAAGCTGACCCAACTGAAAGGATCCGGCACCCAGAGAGCCGTTCTCTGGATGGATGCCCCGATATCAGCTGTGGGACCAGTGTCTGCACCGAAACAGGCCCGTAGCCATTGGTGGAGCGCTGAGGGACCGGCCAGGTGCACTCCTCTCCTTCCCCCCACTCCCTCTCCCTCCCCTGCTCCATTAATTTAATTTACTTTAAATTAGTTTGAAATTAACATCATTTAAATTTAATTTAATTATTAAATGATTTTTATTAAATGCATCTGATAGGACTTACGACTTAGACAATTACACATATTTAACATTGTGAACTGTGCAGTGTGCAATGAACAAAACAAAGAATTCACCACCACGCTGGTGACAAAAAAAAAATTAAAAACCAAACAACCAATCACAAATGGACGTTTTAAATAAGCACGGCAGGAAGAAAATGGAACCAATCAATATAGAGAAGGTACTGTTATGCACCAGAAATTTATCACTAGTGCAGATGCAAAAACAGTCAATAACAGGTTCTATTTTTTTTTTTAGTGCAGTAACACTAGAGCGCATGCACAACCAAAAGAAAAGATGTAGGGGAAAGATGGAGCTGTGACGCCTCCAACCACGACACTGGTGACGCAAGCTGTTCCATCAGAAAATCCACACTAATTTTCCATGTGCAAATGCAATGTGCAATGGAAATGACTCCAAAGGGGAAGAGGAGATGCACAACAAATCCCTGAAGTCGAATCAGAAAGTTATGGATTAAAGGCACAGAAAATCAAAAATAAGCAGAATATGTGTAGAAGGCCACAGTTTCATATTTTTTTTGCTTATACAATATATATGAACTCTATCAAATAGACTACTCTTTTCTACTCAGAGGCAACTAAACTATAATTTGTATATTATGAAACGACATGATTAAATCAATTTTTACAATAGATATTTTTAACTAGCCTAGTTAATCCTTTGCTTTTATAATCTGAGCACAAAACACACTCTTATCTCAATTTAGTGTTCAAATTGGTAGCCCTTTTTGGTAAAAAAAACTTCGTTTAACAAAAACCACACATTGTTAACCGCTAGGTTTTTCCAGAATAAATACTTATTTTGTAATTGTGGATACTACTCTCAGCTCTTTTCTGAAAGATATATGCAGGCCCTGCCCTAAAGAGATTATTTGGTAGAATTTGGAAATATTATGTTCTGTTTTTGTTTTAAAAATTAGATACTGGTGTGAGGGTTTAGAAAAATAAATCAGCGTTTAATGTATTACTTACTACAAGATCATTACTACAAAAAAGAATTAAAACACTAGACACATGGGGATTCAAGACTGCTCCTAACAAAAGCAGGAACTTTTTAATAGTAAAAGACAGAAGCCACATAATACAGTGTAATCTGGTACTGGAAACAGGTGACATATGCTTACCAGTTCTGTCTGCATGTGGTAATACAAATTTATTTTAAAGGTATATAAGGCATTTTTAATGCTATCTATGTGGGAATAAAAATATCATTTCAATACTCTGAATAGTAAATAAATAGTTTACCAGTATCTGTAGGGAGGATGAGCCCAATTTCATCAGCTCTCAGAAGCTAAGCAGGGTCAGTTCTTGGGAGACCACCACAGAAGACTCTGCAGAGGAAGGCCATGGCCAACCACCTCTGCTTCTCACTTGCCTTGAAAGACCTTCGCTGGGGTCACCATAAATTGGCTGTGACTTGATGGCACTTTACTTACAAGCCCAGAAAGGATTTGGAAATAGTTTAAGGGATAGGAAAAGAGTTTGCCTGGTAGGTATAATTTGAAAAAGAATCCTGTCCCACCCCCCAAGACTTTAAAATTTCTGCATCTTAGGAGTCACAGGTGGTGAAACACCAAAGGGTGCATGTTTTTTTCAAATAATACAAGTATTTTTTAAAAAAAAAATGTATACCCATCCATCAGAGTAGTAGTAATTTTCATCAGCTGTTTAGAATAAATTTGATTGACATTGCTTTAAATTATTTTGGAATTTGAAAATAAAGCCATTTGAAAATAAAGTCATTTGAAAACTGCAGGCAAAAAAACCCTAACACCACCAGTATAATTTCTCTAATTAGTAACCTTAAGAGTTAAAACGTCCTCTTCTTGTATGGCACAAACTGGATGCTTCCGAAGCAATGGATTACCTTCACAGTAAAGTTCCACCAGCTCAAGATCCTGCATCTGTATAAACGACACAAGCAAGATTTTAATATAAGAGAACAAAAATCAAATTTTCAATGCAATGTTTGCATAATGCCATTCTAAATATTTACCATTTTATTTAATTAAGATCAGAAGTGGAGAAAAGGGAGGGGAACAAAGGAAGATGAGACAAATACCCTGATATATATTTTTGGATGACTCACACAAAACTGATATTCAATGATAATACAAGCAGAATAAAGTTCCAGTAATGTACCAGGTTGTGTAAAGGAGTACAGAATTCTTGCAGGGAATGTGCATTTTAAGAGGCATTATGCATGACCCACAAATTCCTTCACACTGGTAATTGTCCTAACATTAACCCTTGCTATCAGATTAAGGTAGAAATCTTTTGCATACTTTCATTGGAAGGAAACCCCACGGAAATCAGTAACTTAATTCCAGTTTAGCATGGCTAGGATTAGGGCTGTACATCTTTCTTTTTTAAATTGAATTTATTTGTAGGTTTTTATGTTACAAAAGCAAAAACAAAAATACAGTACATAACTAATTTTTTGGAGTTTATGTTAAACATTCTTTCCAAACCATTTGTTAACTCTATACCATCTTTTTTGAAAAGCTTTTCCATCTTTTCCTAAAAGTATCATATTCAATTTATCCATTTCTGCACGTTCAGATATTTTAGTAACCAACTCTTCTCTAGTGGGTAATTTCTCTGCCTTCCAACATTTAGCAACAAGAATTCTGGCTGCAGTAAGGATATATGACAAAATACATGGATCATCACGCCCAAACCCTTCTGGTATTATATTTAGCAAATAAATTTCAGGTAACAGATGTAAATCTATATCCATAATCTCTAATATTAGCTGTTCAATATCTTTCCAAAATTTATAAATTTTCTCACACCGCCACCACATGTGGAAGAATGTATCTATGTTATTTTTGCACCTCCAAAAGTTTCTTGATACCTCCTTGTAACATTTGGTCATTCTATCTGGTGACCAGTGCCACCTATAAAACATTTTAAATATATTTTCTTTATACAACGTTGATCTTAGTAATTTAACTGCTTTCCAGATTTTTGACCAGTCTTCTATGTTCAGGCTATATCCTATATCCTGCATCCATACAACCATTGAAGATTTAACTATTTCATCTTACATTACATAATGTAGTAAAAATTATACAACTTTTGAATCAGCTTATCGGAGGTTGATAGCCATATTTTATCTAAATCTGTTTTTGAACTATAAAAACTCATTCTTTTGTCTTTAGTAAATCTTGATTGCAGTTGTGAAATCTCCCACCATGTAAGGTTTATATTCATTGCTCATAGTGCCTCAATCGATTTTAACTCATTGTTCTCATTCAATAACATTTCATAGGTTGCCCTTTTATTTTCAGACATCAAAGTTGGTTTTACAAAGGCCTCGAGAGGTGAGACCCAGATAGGTATTTTAGGATAAAACCTTTCTTTTATTTTCCTCCAGATCTTTATTAATGCCCCTCTGATTGCATGATTATGAAAATTTGAATGGATTTTATCTTTGTCATACCATATATAGGCATGCCAGCCCATATACAGATCATGACCCTCTAGTTGTAGGAATCTTTTATCTTCCAACATTAACCAATCCGTAATCCATCCCAAAGCTGATGCCTGATAATATAGAGACCGATTTGGTAGGCCAAGACCACCTCTGTCTTTTCTGTCTTGAAGAAGCTTCCATTTAATATGAGATTTTCTGGATTGCCAAATAAATTTTCGTACTATCTTATCCAAATCTATTATTTTTCAAGATTGGTATGCTCTGTGCCAGAAATAGAAAACGTGGGAGAATATTCATTTTAATAG